ACCATAGAAAAAATAAAGAAATCATTACTTGTAAAATTATCAGAAAAACAGTAAATGTTAAAACCTAAGTCTGTGTATTTCCATAAGCAATACTTAGAAAACCCCAAAAAACCCTAAGTGCTGTAACTAAAATCAAGTGAGGTATGAAGTGTCCCATACCCAATTTTTGGTCAGTGACACTTCTAGATTTCTGTCCATAGAACTGCTCAAAGTGGTTATAATGACATGAATTGAGAAGTGCTCTTTCAGTTGATGTTTTTGAAAGGTAGCTTTGTATGAACAGCTGTGTTTTCAAAATGCTTGCCACCTCTAAATTGGTCCTTGTGAAGTGAACTGTTTGCCTTATTGCCAGCAGGGCACATTGCGCTGTAGCTGCTGCATTTTTAGGTTTTATCACTGTCTCTCTAACTGCTGAAGTGGAAAAGAATGATTGCCAAAACCTGACGTGTTTCTTTTCCTTTCTGCCCACTCTGACTTGGTTCTTAGCTGTCTGTTGCTCCAGTGATGAGAAACGTTGCTCAGTTTATTCATTCACTGAATGTCTTTTCCAGCTCAAATAACGGTGATACCCTCTTGTAAACCAAGGCTCCAGCTGTCAATAACAGTAAATGAAAGAAACCTAATTAAGGCATACCAATCATTGTTTACACAAGAGATAATTAGGCTGCAAGAAGTCACACATATAAGGGTGCATTTTTCTAAAAGAAAAAGATAATAACTTAAAAGTAAGAGACACACCATGTTTAGTAAGACAGTAAGTATAGATGGCAACAGGAATGGACTTCCAGAGAAAAATAAATAATCTGTCTACAATGATTTAAACAGTTTCAGTACAGAAGTTCTACAGAAGTACATTAAAGCAATAATAAAAATACTTAATATAAGTACTAATAAGCAATACTAATGTACTAGGTATAGATCTATTTAACCTTTTTAATTGCAGACAATAGGAAGCAAACCATACCATTTCATCTGGATGAGGAAATACCTGTACAATCCGAATGCACATAAAGATTTACAAATGCAGTTGGGTAAAGAATTACATCAGACTCCAAAACTATGATGCACAGCTCTTGTTGCTGCTTGTGTGGAAACATTTATCCCACATTTCAGCTTACTGATGATCATCTGCGGTTGAGCCTTATCTCTGCTGGCTTTTCTTAGAATCATAGGTACAAATTCTAAGAATCACTTTCATTACATCAAAAATCTCAAGAGGTCAGCAAAATCCACTACTAAGAGTTAATGTTGACATAATTGCATTATTTGAAAGAATTTTTTTGCTTTCAAAAGGAAATATCTACCTTTGCACAGTAACCTTCATGTATATAAAGCTCTGTTCCTTTAAATACTACTCAAAGGAGCAGGATAAATAACATTCAGGTCCTCTATGTCCTTATTAGTACCTTTAAAACTGGCCATTCAAAATACAAAACTTTCACATATAACTCTAGATGGTACAAAGCACTCAACTTTAAAGCACCAGAAGCCATTAGTGAAAATTCTGACACTTAGTGCTAATTAGAGCATTATCAGTACATATTTACTATTATGAGTAAATAAATGCAGAAGAAGAATCAATGCATTCCAAAAGCTCCAAGCAACACAAAGTTAAATGCTTATTTTTTCAGTGCAAACATTTATCTCTGTGACACTACATTCTTCAAGAAAACTGAACTGAGGATACCGTTTATGATGTTGACCACAATTTACTTGAGGTTTATTTTGTTACAGTGAATGACAGCTCACTTTTCCTTTTAAAATGATTTGAACACATCTCAGTGTTGGAAATTAGTTGCATACAGTCAGATACACTCACATAATCAATACAACCAGTAAAGCAGTCATACTGCTTAATTTGATTCTTGGCTTGGATTGCTTCAAGTGGGACTAGAAAACTTATATCAGCAATCAATGTTTTCTTACATTCTTAGTCAAAATTGTATATTGGAGTCAAACTATAATACTATTCTAAACAAAAGGGCGAACAAAAATGTTTTGCCACTCAAAGTACTATATACAATTTCTGCTGTTCATTTCACTACTTCCTTTTTTGGGTACTGGTTCATACTAAGTGTACTACAGTCATATGATTTAGGTTTAGGTTGTCCTGCCAGGAGCAGGGAGTTGGACTCAATGATTTTTATGGGTCCCTTCTAACATGAAATATTCTTTTCTATGATTCTATGACTTATAAGCCACCATGGATGTCCATTCTACTCCAGAATCATTCTTTTATTCCACATCCTGAATGACAGTTAACACCAAATAATTCTCATGTAAAACAAAACACAGATATGCCACTATTTAAATAAAAAATCTTTCTGAAGTGAAACAATATATTTTGGAATGATGGCCGCGGGCTGGAAGAGAGTATCAAAATTATTCTACAATCTGTTATTCAAGCCACTCAACCCCAGTGAATATTTTACGCAAGTCAGAAGCACTTTAACTGAAGAAATAAGAAAGATTTATGCTAGAACAACATATGAGCTTGAGCTGGTGACTTATTAGCTAAAGCATTCACCAGAAAGAGGAAAGACATCAGATTAAATCATAACGAAGCAGAATTTCAACCTGGATCTCTCAGCTCTTCTTTTTTGCTGCCTTTTGCAGAAAGACTATCTAATATATATGACATGGAAATATCCACCAGTGCCCTTACTTTTGGCTTGAGAATCCTATAGAAAATGAAATATAAAATAAGGAGTATAAACACAAATCCAGGAGTATGTTGGCTCATATGTATGCAAAAATGTAGTTTATGTGCTTTAAATGGTACAGCCTCTCAGGTGCCTGGGACACACATGAAAAGTCCATCTTGGTCCACACTCTATGTTTCACAGTAACCAACAGAAAATTTCCAGGGAGGAACAGAAAACACGGTCAGCTACATAGTTAGCTAGCAGAAGTCCCTGAGCGTCATAGTGGGATCAAAAGGCTGAGACATCTGCAGTAGCAGTCCGTTGAATTTCAACTAATTGACAATTCAGGTAATATTTCCAATGACCTTTCAATCAATTGAAACTTATATTTGTATTTGTCATGCTTACAGGAAAGTTTTTAATGTACAATCCAAATAAAAATATGAAAGTCAAGAGGAAATATGCTTTAGAGAGTGCATTAAGAATGTGACTTAAAAAATTCTCCACCCATGGCCATCCTCTTTTCTCTCAACATAGCAAATTACATCCATGCATTTGGCATAGAATGATTTCTCCTGAGATCTTTAGTAAATATGACAGTACTCCACACAGGGGTATCACCTTGCCTCCTCCTGGCAAAATTAAAAGCAAAATACAGGTATTAACTGTTAAACACAAATCTTTATTTTTCTGGAAGCCTCAAGTTCATTTCATTTCCCAGAACAAAGGAACAGATTATACTTTCAGTATTTCAGTCAGTATGTCTTTGCATTTCAGTATAAACTCGGTCATGTGCATAAAAACATGTTATTGATCCTCAGAACAGCAGAATGTTTTCTGTATGTTTATCTCACACATTGTCTGTTCGCTCTATTAATAAACTTACCCATTAAAATAAAACACTAAATGTCCTTAAACGCACATAGCACAAACAGCAGCCTCAAAACCTTGCCAAATGTATTTCAAATTGGTCCAATATTCTTGTTACTTTACATGGTCCAACACCTTTCCTCTGAGCTGATACAGAATGCATAGGTGGTAGATATACCCAATCCTCCTGGGCCTGGAAAGGAAACCTAAAATCTGAATGCTTGACAATTAACTTTTGCAATTCTGTCCATCCATACCAGCAACACCTCAAAAGTTATTTATCAATGTCAATGAAGCATTGATCTTATCTTACAGTTTGTAAACCATGTCACTGTGAATTTTAACACTAGAGGCAAGGGGAGAAAGGACATAAATATGTATCGGACAACAGCCTTCAGAAACAAAGTCTGGATAAAGTTATATGTAAAGTCTATATTCTGAAGTAAATTAAGCACTTAATGTGTACTACTTTATATATGAAAACACAGAAGCTTTGGTACTACATGCGTTGGAACAAAATGTACACTCAAAGTTGGATTTATTTTACTCCACAAAAAGCAAGTACATACAAAAAGTCTGGGGAGCACACATTTGATGCCTCAGGATGCTTACAGTTTCAGTCTTTACTATAATGTGGGCCATGAACACAATCTGCAAATTTCACATTTTTGCAGAGCTACAGACCAAAGAAGCAATTGTTCGTGTAGATTTTTTTCCCTTATCACTCTTAAGACACTTTTCTGTTATTATGCTTTGCAATTGAGGTTATTGAAGCCAGAATAAGACAGCAGTGATTAGTCTGAATTTGCCAAGATGACAAGCTATTTATTATAAGGTACATATTTCTTTCTAATTATTACTTAAAAAAAAAAAAAAGAAAAGAATTTTTCTTTCTAAACTGCAGCTACAAAAAGAAATAAAAATTATAAAGCCTGCAGATTATCAATTTTGTATATTTCTGTATAAATATCTCACAGGATTGCCTAAGAATACCATCATTAGGAATGTGTATTAATCCAACTATTCCATTTTATTTTGATTACACATAAATTATGTTCTTTATATTTATAAACCTCATGTTCAAAAGTTAAATATTCATGCTCTGTAGGATTTGCTCAGTGTTTAAATTTTCAAAGCCAAAAGAAACCAGTCTGTTTCTAGTGATTAAAAAAAAAAAAAGAAAGTATTTTAAAAGAGGATAAAATATGTATAAAAATCTCACTGATATATTTTGCTTAATACTCTGTGGATCTTCATCTTTCTGTAGAACAATGCTCCACTGCATGTATGAGAAGCTAAAGGTCTAAAGATATATTACTATATTAACTTAATTTATACTATCTGGATACCACTATAATACTCCAGGCACCACAGTCATTTTCTTTTCTTACTTGCAATAATTAACAGTAGAGAGCAAAAGATGGCTAAATTAATTTATAACTTTATAGTGTCTTATACTAATTATTTCCTCTTCTTGTATTTTAGGTCATCCTGTCATTCCTGCAAACACTAATCAATCATGGGATTTGAAGTTAATACTACTAAATAAATGAATTGCTTAATCTCCTATGACCACCTATACATGCTTCATCTTCACAAAGCTCATCAATTTTATGTCATCAAGGACAGAGTGACCTTCATTTCCACAAAATGCCTCTTACTACTGGACAAATTGGTTACAAATTTATCACTTAACCTCAGGAAGAAAGACCTTCACGATCATCATTTGATAAATGCAAGTGTGTATTTTATTAATTGACCAAGTCATAGTGAATTCCAAGACCATAACTGTGGAATACTGAAGGGTCTGTTACTTTTCTTGAATATTTGAGCTAAGATGAAAGACATCAAAATTAATTTACTTCTTGGTCTAGTTACCACTGCACTACTACAAACTGTAGGAAAAAAAGCAGACTGCCCAGAGTCCTGTGTATGTGAGATCAGACCATGGTTCACCCCCAGGTCTGTGTACATGGAGGCTCCAACAGTGGACTGTAATGATTTAGGCCTTTTTAATTTTCCAGCCAGACTGCCTGCCGACACACAAGTTCTACTTCTACAAACTAATAATATTGCAAAAATTGAACATTCAGTAGACTTTCCAGTGAATTTAACTGGTTTAGATTTATCTCAGAACAATTTATCCTCAGTGACCAGTATTAATCTTAGAAAGATACCACAGTTACTGTCAGTGTACCTTGAAGAAAACAAACTTACTGAACTCCCTGAAGAATGTCTCTCTGGACTCAGCAATTTACAAGAGCTTTATATTAATCATAATCTGCTTTCTGTGATTGCACCCGGAGCTTTCATAGGCCTCAATAATCTTCTCAGACTTCATCTCAATTCAAATGGTCTGCAAGTGATCAACAGAAAGTGGTTTGAAGCTACTCCTAATCTTGAAATTCTCATGATTGGAGAAAACCCAATTATCAGAATTGAAGACATGAATTTCAAACCTCTTAGCAATCTGCGCAGCCTAGTTTTAGCAGGTATAAATCTCACTGAAATACCAGATAATGCTTTGGCTGGCCTTGACAACTTAGAAAGCATTTCCTTTTATGACAACAGATTTGTTAGAGTGCCCCACATTGCTCTTCAAAAGGCTACAAATCTTAAATTTCTGGATCTAAATAAGAATCCCATTAACAGAATACGACGAGGAGATTTTAGTAATATGCTACACCTAAAAGAGTTAGGAATTAATAATATGCCTGAACTGATTTCTATAGATAGCCTTGCTGTTGACAATTTGCCAGATTTAAGAAAAATAGAAGCTACCAATAACCCCAGATTATCATACATTCACCCCAATGCATTCTACAGACTTCCCAAGCTGGAATCGCTCATGCTCAACAGCAATGCGCTGAGTGCCCTGTACCGCAGTACAATAGAATCCTTGCCTAACCTCAAAGAAGTCAGCATACACAGCAATCCCATTAGATGTGACTGTGTCATCCGCTGGATTAACATGAATAAAACAAACATTCGCTTCATGGAGCCAGAGTCTCTGTATTGTGTAGATCCTCCAGAATTCCAGGGTCAGAATGTGAGACAGATACACTTCCGGGAAATGATGGAAATCTGTCTCCCTCTGATAGCTCCTGAAAGTTTTCCTTCTACTCTGGATTTAAAAGCTGGCAGCCATATTTCCTTACACTGCAGAGCAACAGCAGAACCAGAACCTGAAATCTACTGGATAACACCCTCAGGACACAAACTTTTGCCCAATACTATTTCTGATAAATACTATGTTCATTCCGAAGGAACTTTAGAAATAAGTGATGTAACACAAAGAGAAAGTGGCTTATACACATGTATAGCAACAAATTTAGTTGGGGCAGACCTAAAGTCCGTCATGATTAAAGTGGACGGCTCTTTCCCTCAGGACAGCAATGGATCATTAAATATTAAAATAAAAGACATAAAATCTAATTCTGTTTTGGTTTCATGGAAAGCAAGTTCTAAAATTCTGAAGTCCAGTGTTAGATGGACAGCCTTTCTGAAAGCTGAAGACTCCCAGGCTGCACAGAGTGCTCGAATACCATCTGATATGAAGGTATATAATCTTACACATCTAAACCCCTCAACTGAATACAAAATTTGTATAGATATTCCCACTATCTATTCACAGAGTAAGAAACAATGTGTCAACGTAACCACAAAAGGACTGGACTTGGAAGTGAAAGGCTATGAAAAGAACAACATAATAGGATTCCTTGCCTGCCTTGGTGCCCTTTTGGGAATCATCTCTGTGATATATCTCTACAGCTGCATCTCACAAGATATGAACTATGGCATTGGACACAGCTATCTAAGGAATTATGTGAAGAAACAATCCTTTCAACTCAATGAGCTTTATCCTCCTCTAATCACTCTTTGGGATATGGGCAAAGAAAAAAGCACAGCAATGGAAGTAAAAGCAACTGTAATAGGTGTACCAAACAATATGTCATAAATATGTCAGTATATCACTCAATTTCTGAAACAAAAAACCCTGACTGCATTTCTGTTGAACAAAAAGGCAACAATAAAAAGTATTTCTCTTAGGAACTAGATGCCTGGACTTTGTTGCTGCCAACAATTGGGAATATATACTGACTATAAGAGAAGAATTTTAACTAACTGGCTTCTAAGGGTATTCTACCAACCAAATACAATTATCTTCATATTCTAGAACTTTCATGGGACTTTTAAGTCTGGAATACAGTGGAAGTAGCCAAGAACATTTTCTGGGTTTTTTTTTTAAATTATTATATAAAAGTAGTGGAACTGAGCAATACCTCCTCCTGTGCTGTATTACACACACTAGCCACGAGTTTTTGCAGTGAACAGATATACTAGGATTGACATATGGTGTAATGAAATGGACAAATTCTGTAGAGTAGACACAGTGAGTATGTGAATTTTTTTAATGAGAAAATACATTTTTGATTAAAATCAAAATAGTTGTTGTCTTGTTTGTTTCTTAAAAAAAACCCCACAATCCCACCATTCTGGGAGCTCTTCTCTGACAATAAACAGTCATCCCAATGCCTGATAAAATATGTCCTTACATATTCTCCTGCTAAATGCTAAGCTGAGCACATAGGATATTTTCACTGCTTTTAGGCTGTATGACATGTTTCAAACAGAAAGGTAAATTTAGTGGTAGTTTTATTTTAAGAACATTTTAAAGGCAAAATGGATATTGGAGATGAGGCCACCTATATACATTTTTATGTGTCTGTGTGAAATAATTCTGTTTTCTTAGCAATATGTGAGCCTGTGTGCAGATCTTCATTTAATTATATCTGTATTACATTATTTTATTCCTATACAAAAGTAGTCTCTTGTAGAACACATAGCAGTGCTTTCCATAGCAGTATTGTAAACCACTTACATAACATCTTTAATATCTACAAAGAAACATCTCCATGACATTAGTCTAACAAATGTCTAAAAAGATTCATTATTTCCCCATGACCAAAGACATTCTCTATGTCAAAATACCAAAGGAAGCTACAGGGAGCAGTAAGATTCCTGGGTAGCAGTGTATAAAAATGGATAGCTGTTCCTTCTACAGATATCCTACATAAACCTGAGGTCCTTGGAAAGTAATAAATCCATCTTCTAGCTGTAATTGCTTAGTACATATTTAACTTGCATTATTTCACAAACATATGCCAAAAAAATCTAACAAAAATTTTTTCAGCAAAGTAGAACTGGTTAAAAAAATGTATAAATAACTTCTTAGTAGTGGTATAGTACACTTCTTCATAATCTCTTCATTTACCAGAAGGTTGTGTTTTTTTCTACATAACGCACAGGACTAAAATTTTCATGTATTTCATTAATTGGCATGTTTACTGTCTTTATTGGAGGTAGGAATTGACAACAAGCTATATTTAATTTTCTCAGAAACAGAAAAGCATTGTTACACACCTGTGTTTCCATTTATTTAATAGACGTCTCTCAAGAATCCAATACATTAAAAGCCATACTTGCTGGTTATTCAAATCAGAAAATAGTAGCTCAGAAAAAGATTAACTTTTCCTTGGTATTTGACAGCAAACCTTATTCTGAAATGTACTACTAATGAGAGAAGACAAACATAAATATTTAAATATACCTGGTTAGGAAATACCCAAAATACAATACTGAAAAGACATTTTAATTAGTTTATCTTTTTTTCTGTCAACTACTAGACTGAAAGGTACTGTTCTATTCATAAAAAGATTAAGTATTTACTTTTTGGTAAAATATTTACAAAAATAAATTCCAATATTTCATGAGCTAACACAGCCAAATGCTCACTTGCATATGTACATTTCAGTTGCTAGTTTAGTTACAGTGCTGTGAAATCATAGCTCCAAACACTACCTAAAAAGATTAAATAAAAGATTGGTGAAAAAAATGTTAATTTATATCCTAAAAGGAAATTTACATTTCCAAAATTCACTAAAAAACCTCATTCTGCTTGTGTAACCTGAAACAGTGACCTCAAGATAACTTAAAAGAGAAATGGAGGTTCTTCCCACAATCTCGTGCTGGCCAGGAATAGAAAAGACACAATGATCAACAGTAATCGTTAGGATATTATTTGTTATCTGAAGATAGAAGAGACATTTCTGAAAAGGGTTCCCATATAGTATAGAAAATAAGTGCAGACACTAGGCAGTCCTAGAAGAGCTGAGAGAAAAAAACCGAAAAGCATCACTCTGTCAGACTTAAGAAAGAAAAGCATTCATATTATTGAACTGAATGGAGTGGATGTGTGACACTGACAAGATAAGACATTTTACATAGCAGAAAGTGTATAGTAAGTATGAAAAGTTCATTATTAAAACTTCAGAAGATATTTTGAAAGACATAGTTAAATGGGACAGCGAAGATAGCCACTGAACACAAACCATAGAGGCAAAACAGAGACTGAAAATTCACCTTATGCTAAAGATGAGAAAACGCTTGCAAACAGATTAACAATTGCACACAGTTTTTCTAGAAGTAAGAAATAGGATGACTAGAAAGATATCCAGAGTAAAAAAAAATTACTGGTGTTAGCTACTGAAGATCATGAGACTTCATCACAACATAGCTTACAGAGAAACATCTTGAATCAAATTGTTGGGGAAATGATAGATACATGTGATCATTTAAGAGCATCTTTGAGTTCCATGAGCAGCAGTAAAAACATGTTGGAATAAACCATTAGGTAGGAAAAGAAACAACCCACATCTTTCTCAAATATTGTTTGACCTTCCAAATCAACTTTTTTGGTACGTCAGCCTAATAATGTACCAAATGTGTCACTTGAACAGCTTTCAGCTTAATACAACTAGAATTAATTGAAACCAATTTTCTCAGGAAAAGGCTACACAGATACTCAGGGAAAATGCTAAGCTACAACAGAAAAAGGGAGGATTATAAAAACAAGAGAGGTTATCTAAACATTCAGTAAACATAAAATCAGTACACAGAGGACAAAAATTAATCTAGATGACAAAGTTTGTGAAGATAAAAGAAAAAAAAAACAAACTTCATTTCCACATATGACAACTATAGAATTTCAATATTAAACGAGAAATTTGCAATTATTTACATGGATAAATTAATTACTGAAACTTGGCAAGATTTGCATGATTGGAATGTTAAAATATATAACCATAACCTGTCTAGTGAGAACTGTGCTTTGGAACTGAGATGTGAACTATTCACTTTACATTCAATAAACATTCTAAAGGAGTTGAGTCTTCTCCAATGCTTGCATTATAGGGCAGTGTGAAAATAATATAAAGTATCAGAGTAGATTCTGTCCATGATTAGCTGCACTTCAGTATTCTGAGACAAAATAGACAAGCATCCTTTGTAAATAGCACACCCATAATGTAGAATTAGTAATGAATAATGAAAACACACCCTATGGTACATGACTGACTATGGTTATGTTATTTTTCTGGTTACATTAAGTAATGTTTCATTTGTATAGCCTGGGTGATCAAAAAGAGATAGAAGGTTAAGCCAATTGGACAACATCTTTAAAGGACTTGTTCTTTTGAACACTCAAAAAACCTTTTAAATTAATGTAGTGTACCTTTACCTACTTGACTACAATATTCTCAGAGAGATATAAAGCTGCAGTTATACTGAAGTACCTTCAAAGCTGAATCTTTTATTAAGTCATTCCTTCCTTCAGACAAAGCTGAAAACTACAAATTAAATTCCTCTGGCAGCTAAAAAATGCTTTCTGCAAATCTCTCTCACTTGCCTATTTTTCTGTCTCCCAGCTTCAATTATTTTTAGACTCTTTTTCCTAGAGTCCTTTTCTTTGCCCTGATACAAATGCTCTGTTCTCTTCCATGATCCCTGTGGCTTCTTCATCACATCATTTTCAACACTGCCAGAATGGATGGATGTTGTCTGACTAAATAAAAAAATTAACAAAGAAACATCATATTTGAAGGCAAAATATTTGAATAGAGAAATAAAAAATATTAAAGAAAGACCTTAAAATGTGATGTCAAGCTGATCAGCTAATGAGATGAAGTATCTCTCAAGGAAACAAAGCAGAAAAATGTAATTAAATTCAAATGAAAATAATAATATGGGAGTAAGATAAAGCTGAAAGGGCAGGCAGTTTGGGCAGATGGCCTATTCTGGATCCTAAAATAGCTGATGTTCTTTTCAACATTACAGTTTAGATAAGTGGAAAACAACTCCATCTGCCTTACCCTTACGTAGTTATTGTTCGTTATCTGTGTTGATGACAATTTCACACTGTGCTCCAAATAGCCATAACATTTTTGAATCACAAAACTACATCAAATTCAGTGCTGATGTCTTCATCTATAAACATTTCTTCCAGTCCAGATCTAGATTCTATAAAGAAAACCTTTCAGCATTTATATACTACATTTTACAGGTCAAAGGGCTTACAGTTTTGTCATTTAGCATGTGAGTACAAGTCAGATTCCTTGAGATGGCTGTTGTGAACAACATTTGAGGACAGAATCTTGCCAGAAATTCTTTTTTTTTTTTGTATTAGGCTTTACTTTGTGCTGTTAACATTTATAATTTCTTCTTGTTTCTGTCTCTAGCATTAACATCAGCTAACCTTAAAAACATACAACTGAATCCTTTTTAGCACCAAAGAAAGTGGGTTACAGTCTAAAGACTATTAAAGACAGATAAAAGATGCTTTGACATAATGGTAGAATGATTTTATAGGCCACAGAACCAGATGATGAAAGTCATCTACTCCTATATATTCTAACATTTAAATGGAATATGTAAGGGTTATAAATAGAGTAAGAATTATCCCTTTTAATTAAGTGCAAAATGTTCAGTAACTATGCCAAATAAAAACCAACAATTTAAAGTTAATCTCACTATAGCAAAGCAAAAACCATCATTAGATTACAGGTAATCAGCTATGTTTTTCTTTACATACCAGGTAATAAAAGGATTAAATTAAATCGAACTGTTACTATCAACTGTAGTCTCTTAGATTAACTTAATCTTCCCTTAACAATTAATATAAAATGGGATGTTAAAGTCTTACATAATTTATTTCATAATTGCTCTGTAGGTATTCATGATAAATGCATGCCCATTTTTAGCAAACTAAGAGCTATATTGAATATTCATGTGTCACACAATGTATTCCAAAATATGAAACAATGCTTCTTCCTAAAACACCTGCTTGCAAAAGTTCAACTATCAATACCTAAAATATATGACACACATCACTATCTCAATTACATTTCTTCTACAGCTGTGTAAGAGGATTTCATTACCCAAGCTAGGATGAATTGTATCCAGATAAATTACAGACTTTTAGTATGACAAATCCAGAATAAGGACTGTCCACTGTCACAACACTTGTAAATTTATATTTACATTATTATGTCCAATTCACCTTGTTGCTTTTCAGGCTGTTAAAAGTCCAATTAAAAATTATTTTCTTTTCTTCTTTCCAAGAAATTCAGCCTCACTTCCAACCTTTACATTTCTTTCCATAATTTAGCATTAATCTACTGTTTGCTCTTACACAAAATCACAGCAGCAGCAACCACCCTCCTTTTTACCTATTTTCTACTTCAGTAATACTTCATCTTTTTCTAAAGCTCCTATGAACTAGTCTACTGTCAGAGTACCTTACTTCCCAGGCTACATACAGAGTATCCTTGCCTACGATATTTGTTATCATTTTATAATTCTTAAAGAAAAGAGGGAAAAACAAAAAAACCCTTAATTGTTTTGTGGATTTGAGGATAAATTTCAAGTGTCACCAGAGGAAAAGTCTATTCTCCAACCTACTTCAGCATCAGCTCTGCTTAAATGCTACTATGGTAACTAACGCTCCCTTTCTCTCCCTTGGTCTTAGGAAAGCCGATTTAAATGGAGGATGTCGACTACAGGTAGAGTAATTTGAAGTTATTTGTAACTTTTACAATGTCTGGATTATTAGAAAGAGAAAAAAACAGAAAGAGAATAGTCTTATTATCCAGGTAACCTTTTCAAAAGCATATAACAATTTATAAGCTATATACCAAAAAACATATCCCACCAACACACATACACCAAAGATAAAACCTCCTGCAATTAACTAAGAGTTTAGAAAAAAAGAAACAGAAATATATTGTCAAAGAGTTGTGGGTTTTTCCTCTACCACATTGAGTGGTAGACAAGGATCAACCAGTACTTCCCTCATTTAGCAAAAGCATTTAGGTGTGTAATTCCCACTGACTTTAACATCCTAGTCTCTAACCTGTCAAAGTGTTTTGGACATTACAAAGTGTGCCCCTGGATGACCCAAAGCCTGGCCACATGAACCTACCAACCTGAGAGCCCTCACAAATTTTCATCTGCACAGCCCTACTAAACACAGTGTAAGTGCAATGTACGTCATTCATTTAACTGAAAACATTACATATATTTTTAATTAAGACAAAATGGAAAAAACCAATATTATTTAATTACAATGCTTAGAATATAATATTTTGTAGAGAGCACCAGTTTCAGGATTGAATAATTCCATAACCATCAAAGAAATACTGGATAGTGTAGGAAATTAAACACCAGGAAAGGAATTTTTGGTATGTTCAGATATTATCTAACTACAAAGGAAACAATATGCCATAAAATATATTTTAAATTACTTTAAGATACCACAAACAATATAGGTATCTCTCAGATTCTTACTCCTCCTTACCTAAAAGGTTTGCAAGAGTCTGGTCCTGCATTTCATCTCTAATTATAAATTATCATCCTATAAAATTTCTTAGGCTTTAACTTGTTTTCTTCCTCCTTCTCTCTCCTTCATTTGAAAATTTCTTTTTGTTTCAATTATTTGCTTCCACATCAGCGTGGAAGTTCTCTTGTCTTGCAAGAACATGCAACACTGTTCTCCCACTATCAGTGTCTCTTCTTTATCATTCTGGTACAGGGCTCTATTTTTCCCTTGCCAAAATTAACATTCTATCATACTGGATGTGTATAAAACAATCTAAATGCCTCTTGCTAGAACACTTACACTACATACTCCAAACTTTATGTATAATGTGGTGACTTTATGGTGAATAGGGGCTTAACTTAAGAGTGTGGAAAGTATCTCATAAATACTCAGAAAATAGAAAATCTGAGAAAGGAAAAAAATTGTTTAAACCAAAAAATGGTAAATTACAAACCTTATAATATGTTGCTAACAAATAAAGTACAGGCCACGTAAGTATTACAAATAAAAATCAGAAAACTTTAGAAAAAATCAGAAACTTTAGATACTCAAAGGTAGAAAAGTCAAAGGTAGAAAACAAATTCTTACATAGGATGGTACAAATATTTTAGAACAAACCTTCTGAGAGTTGTAAAAATGTGTCCAGTGAGGGAAAAATTGCTAAAAGAACAAGTTTGTAACATCATCAGATCAATAAATGTGAGAAAAATAAGTTGAATGAACAAAGAGGTGCTACAAGTAATTTTAATGAGGGTGAAGTGGAAAAGCAGGATAGAGGAAAGGTATAAGAAAAACAGTTAAAAAGGAGCAAGTGAAGACACTGTCTAACAGCTCATCCTGGAGACACAATAATTAAAGGTAGCAATACACTACTCAGTAGTTGGAAGCAAATTTTCAACAAGTGACAGTATTATAAGAAAATGAGAAAAATTAAAAATAAAGACATGAGGAAACAGTCAAAGAAAACAAGCAAGCTTGAAGATACCATGAAATATACATATCCAGAACTTTCAAATTAAGACAAATTAAGTCTTAACAAAAATGGAGGGGAAGGACAAGACAGCAGGTGTATGTACTTTGATTTGGTCAAAAATATTTATTACAGAAAAACTGTAATGAGGCTTTAACTTTTTTTCATTTCTTTCTTTTTTATTTGTTTCAATTTCAAAAATTTTTCAGACTATTCCAAAATAATGCTTAGGAGACAAATTATAATTTATATATGGTCTGAGACAATTAAGCAAGAGTCAAGGAAAAAGTTACAATACTAATTGTAAAACAAGCAGTTCAAAAATATTTATAAGAAAGTGGGGATAAAAAGTGCTTAAGCAATGAAAAAAGAGCATGCTTGGAAATTCTGTCTAATATGAGGAAGGCAGTGACAGGTAGTGTCATTTGGGAGGTTTCATTCAGAAGACAATTGGAAGCTGATAACCCTTGTTATTAAGCAAAATACTTTCATAAAGAAATCTCAGAGGGAAGGAGACACTACTGCCTCTAATTAAAGGCA